GTCAAGAGGAAGTTCTGGTAGCAGAGATAATGAGGCTAGTTAAGGCTTGTTCGATTTTGAGTCCTAGTTCTTGGACTATTTTATGAGCAATCATACTAATAGATACTTCGCTATCTACAATAGCTTGGTAAGACCTGTTTCTAATTTTAATGTTGCATTTGACAGATGTGGTAGTTGGTTCAGGAGTAATAACCATAGCTTTAGCTTTTTGGCTAAGGTGAGCAAAAAGAGCACTTCAGATAGAAGGATTGTCCAGGAGGGTTTCTCATTTTTGTTGGCTCATAGGAGAAGATGATTTAGGGTTCTGGGCAAGGTAGTTGACATCATAATAGTAAGGAGAAGGTGAGTGATTGGAGGATCTCTTATAGTTATCAGCATAGGAATAGTAGCTATCTTGTTCTTAAGAATAACCTCGATTTCGAGAGTAGTCGTCACAGCTTCTAGATCTATTTCTGTCTTGTGATCTACTTCTATTATAGGATCTAGAATAGTTTCTGTCTCAGCTTCTAAATCAGTTGTAGTTACGGTTATTATTATAACGATCTCGGCTTCTGTCTTGCGGTTATTCTTGGTTTCTCTGTTTAGCATGACACTAAGCAATAAAGTGTCCGGTACGTCCACAATAATAACAGGTAGGTGGTTGTCTGATTCTTGATGCAGTGGTAGGGCTTTCAGCATAGTGTATAGCGTTAGGAGCAGGCTTTTGTTGAGCAAGATTGATGCTAAGTTGAGCAATCTGTTCAGTTAGTTGTTTGATTGCTTGGTCTGTATCTGTTGTAGGAGCAGAGAAAGTTTGCTATTTTCCCAATTTCAGATAGCAGTGATAGCAGCAGCCAAGTTAGCAGAGGCTCTAGCTTGTACTCTAATAGCATACTCAGGTCTGAGTCCTTGAATGAAGAGTTGGAGGATAAAGTTATCAGGAAAACTATTGGCTGAATCTACTCTGGCTTGTAACCTCTTGAAGCAAGTGATATAGGCGTCTACAGAGTCTGTTCCTTGTTTAATTTCAAAGAGTTGTTTCTGCTACTTGATCTTTTGTTTAGTAGAGCTGAACTGGGTTTTGAAGAGATGATAAAAACTTTGATCTTGGGCAGTGCTATTATTGAAAGCGTTGGGGGCAGGATTAAGATCTTGGAACTATTCGGTAGCAATTTTTTTTAAATAGGCAGGGACGAAAGCGAGTTGTCAGACAGCAGTCCAGTTGTTGGCAATAGCAGCATGTTCAAATTCTTTTAGCCATTCTACTAGGTCTTGGGTTCCATCACCAGTAAAGAAATTAATTTTCATGAGAGTCTTTTTACCACCAGAAGTTAAGGAATTAGCCAACTAGATTATTGCAGTTGCAGTATTGTTCAAGGCAGCAGCTTCAGCTATATTTGCAGAAGATATGACAGGTGGTTGCTATAGAAGTACTACAGGTGGTTGTTGTGGAGGTACTATAGGTGGTTGTTGTGGAGGAGGTAGGTTGTTCTCGGGTTGTTCTGGTTGTTCTAGTGGTGGTGGGTTATCTATTTGTTGACCAGGTGGTGGTAGGTTATCTTCTTGTTGTTCAAGAGGAGGTAAATTGTTTTGTAGTTTGAAAATTTCAGCTGGGGTAAAGATATCTTGGACTGTACTATCTGAGCTTTCTTCTTCTTCAATAGATTTTTCTTGGTATATAGTTACTTCTTGTTGTAAATGATGTTCTTCAATATATGTTCCTGGGATAGCAGCAAGGTTTATGTCTATAAAATGTTCAGTTTGTTTTGCAACAGGTGCTTGAGGTACTTCAAATGTTTCTCAGGGTGAGCGTGGAGGAAGTTGATAATTAAGGTTGTTGGTTTTGTCTTGGTAAGAGGGTAAGCTAGAAGGAGATGGGACTCGGTAGATAATATGTTGGTCTCGATAGCTGAAACTATATGTATCATCTTGTGGTTGTTGTCGTATAGGAGTGCCTAAGTTTCCAAAATATTTATCATATTGTCCTGGTTTCTTGTATCCAAAACTATAGGCTAAATTGATGTAATGGTCGAAGACAGTTTGGTATTCAAAATCAATAACAGGTAGAGTAGTGAGGTGGGTATATCTTTGGAGTAATGCAAGAGCAATTTATCTAGGGTCTTCTATATTTCCGTTGTAGTGATAACTAAAAATAATATCTCTAATAATAGTGCAATTAGAAGGTCTGTCTTGGGTTACGGTAAGGTGTGAAAGGCTAGTGGTGGTTCTGGAAGTATAACTATATGCGCCGTAGGTGTTGGAATACCAATTCCAAAATCTTTCAAAAGGTGTTTGAAGAAAAGTGCGAGGACTAGTTCTAGGTGGAGGATAACAAAATTGACAAGAGAGGTCTGGGGTTAAGGTTTGTAAAGTAGTAAAAGGAAGGGCAGAGTTTTGTTGATGTTCATGCTCGTGATTTACAATATATTCATTGTGTAATTCAGTGACTCTATCAGTCATAGAGCAAAGTCTAAATGCTAGTTACTAGCAGAGAAAGAGAAGAGAAAATAAAATAATATTCTTGGGGTTGGATCCTTACATCTACACTTTGGCTCGTAGAGAATCTGTCAATATCATTTAGGTTAGATCCTTACGTCTACACTTTGGCTCGTGGAGAATCCTTCAGTTGTCCTGGGAATGCATCCAGGTACTAGCTAAATAAATCCTTGGTGGTGGGGTTGTCGTCTACAATACTCAATACAGCAATCTGAGATAACTATCCTCTGGTAAACAGCTAATAATCAAGAGGGTCCAGGATAATGTTATTCAGTAATGGTTTTAAAATATTTTCTGCCAGGAGGCACCAAATATTAGGGCAGTGTCATTTATCGCCTGATTATTTTTTATCAGAGGCTTACCCCTCCTCCCCCTTTTAAGATAAAAAAAAGTCAGATCCTTATATATAATTTTAACTTTTTTTACCCCTCTTCCTCCCTAAAAAATCACCTGATTTTTGTCATGTCCTTTACAGTACTGTAGCCTTCTTAATAGCAGTACTATAATAATGACATGGCTACAGGGATCCTTCACAAGTTTATAGCGGTGTCCAACAGGTAAGTATAATTTTTACACAACTAGAAACTATACTCTTCTGTCTGTAGCAGTTTGGGCATACAATAGTTTATAGATAAAATATATGTTTTATTAGAGAGAATAAGATAGGCTATCTTTAGGTTTCTATTCCTAAAGAATTCTATAATATTACAAGAGAGAATTTAGGGAAGAAAGAAGTCTGGGTCTAAGAGATGGACGGTACAGGTCTAATATTAACTTGAGAAAATTTATATCCTTTTATATCTTTAGAGCTAATCGCTAATTGTTGCAGCTAAGCGTAATTTACTTAGTGTTAAGCGTAAAGTGTAATTGCTAATCGTTAAGTGTTAAGTGCTAATCATAATTGCTAAACGTAATCGCTAATCGTTAATTGCTAAGCATAATTGTTAATCGTTAATCACTAAGTGTAATCGCTAATCGTTAATTGCTAAGCGTAATCGCTAATCACTAATCGTTAATCGTTAAGCGTACTACATGTCTGTTAAATTCTACTCTAATAATAATAGCTAAATAATACTAAGATAATAAAATAATAAATAATAAAATACAATATCAAAATAATAAACTAATAAAATAATAAATTGTTCTATAACGATATTATTGAACTTAATTAATAAAGATAATTAATAAAGAATATATAAGTTTCGCTAATATAAATTTCGTCTACATTATGAATTCGTTCGATTTGATTCTTCCAGAAATTATGTAATTTGATTGGATAATTATCATGAGAAATCATGAGTAGATCAGCCAATCAGATGAATGTCATCTTATGATGACATATCTCTAATCACGCTACACAATTGAGTATAGCAGAAGTTCGTTTTGATTGGCTAAAATTTGAACAAATATGATTGGCAATGATCATTTATTTATATAGTCAATTGCAATTTTAAAATACTTTTATTAGTAAAAATCGTCATGCCATATAAATTTTTTTTTGTAATACGTGATGAAACAACAAACTTAAGCAAATTTTTACCTTTAAACCTACTGTTTTTTAATGATACAATAAGATACAGAAGTTTAAGAAACTAGATGAGAAGTAAAATATTTTGAAAGGTCAAAAAGGTGGTTTGGTGATCTAAGCAAATAGTAAGTGAAATTGTGAGACTTTGTCTTAACTAGACTCATTTACCTTACAAATAAAAAAAAAAAACTATTTTGAATTACTATTCTAAACCTTTTTATTGTATTTATTTAAGTTACGAATATAGTTTATAAATATAATGCTTATAGATGCAAAAAGTTGTAATAGTGATAGTTTTAGAAGTATTTTTTTTGTAAATAATATACTTATCTGAAACAAATATCACAGATATATAACTTCGTGAAATTTAAATTAAAAGTTATGAATTAATGTACTGTAAAAGCGTCTTTAAAGAGTTCATGAATAATAAACTTTATCCGGGTATAGCCGGTAATCTATCCGAGGTATGATCGACATTTTTTCCGGGGTATTTTAACAACCAATCAAAACGAACTTCTGCTATGCTACACAATTGAAGAATAATTTATATAAGGTAATCTAAATGTTACACCACGTGATCCCAACGATGATTAATCAATTCTTTAGTGTGAAATACTTTCCGTCAGAGGTGATGTATTTGATTTTACCAAATCATACCATTGCATTGCATGTATCACGATTAAAGTTGTAAAGATCAGGTGATCTGAATTGTATAATACTATACCGATACGGCTTTAGCGAATCCTAAGAAACGTTATGTCATTTTTAAATTACATAATAAGACAATTACATCATTTTCACATACTTCAGTATTTGGCTATTAGTCTATAAAGACTTACATTTTTCCCTTGACGCAATATTTCATTGTGGGAAATTTTTTTACTTCTAAGTGGTAAAATTCCAATAATCGACCATTATTTATTTGTGATAAAGTATTAGAAAATTTTTCATCTTAATAATTGATTGTTTTCTCGATTTTAAAGAAATACCACTGAAAATGCTCGAAAAAGACGTACAATTTCGTTTTATGACTACACAAAACCGCCCACAATTTCGTTTTATAACTACACAAAACCGTACACATGCTAAGATTTCAATTCACGATCCACTATCATTAACGGGCAGATTGAGATATGCTGTTCGTAATTTACCACCTGAAGCGCTTCCATTTGTAGTGGTTGTTACCGCAAGTCTCAGTGGTGGTGCCATTGCTATGCTGCATAAATTGTGGACCGATCCACAATTAAGAAGACATCCTGCTTTTAGTCATAGGAAATAATTTAATTAGTTGTAGTGTAAAATTTTTTTGCAAACTTAAAAACTTGTATGATTATTTTGCATTTTATTCTATATATAGTTATTTAGAAAATCAAGGAATTCGTACGTATACTCGAAATATATACATATATATATATAGTATATATTTAAATATTTTTAGGTCATGTAGTTAATTTTTTGATTTTTCATAAAATAAAATTTTTGAGACGTATAAAAATATATTAAAAAAAGCACCGTTTGGCACTGCACACAGTACCCGAGGTCTTATTCAAGAACTTCATCTTTAAAATTGAATACGTAGTACTGGGACTATTCATAAATCTAGCGATCTCATTGGTGGAGAAGGGGTACTTTATGCGGCAGGACAAGGGGATACTGTAGGCAGTGACCAACGGTATGTATGGGTAATTAGAATTCAGACCAAAATATTATTGTCATATAACTTGTATCGCAAACTACTTATAAAATAACTATATATTTCTTGATATAAAATTGGTCTGGGTAAAAATAATTTCCCATAAAATATGCATTATTAACGTATATATTTTTATACATAGTATAAATGACATATTTATAAAAAAAAAAAAATCGTTTTTTAAACTGGTTTTAAAACTATCACTATAATTTAAACGGATTTACTAAAATGCACCGTAGGTGTTAAACATCAATTGCCATATTTCAAAAACTAACTAAATATTTGGTGTTTTAAGTATAACTACTAAATATTCAAAAACTTTTATTTAACTTTAATCTTAAACCTAATATCTAATATTACAAATAATATGTAAATATATATATGTTTATATTGTTAAACACTAGCAGATAGGTGAATTTTATAATTTACTGAATCTTTATAGTTATGTTTAAACAATTAATAAATATTATAGTTGATATTAAAAGTAGCTAAATTTTGATCTATTTTTTTATAGTTTAATTAGAATTTAGAGTCAGCATTAATATGAAAGCATATTGGTGTTTTTATAGCAAAAGAGAATAGATCAAAAAAATTTTTTTAAATATTTTGCAATAATTTTAAAATATTTTGGTATTGTAAATTTTTTTACAATATTTTATGTATATTTTTTGCTAATCTAGTTATTAATTTTATTTTTTGTAAAATTTAAAATGACAATCTTGCAATTAGTAACCTAAAAGTATAATTATTTTATTATTAACCCAAAGATCTAGTAAGTAAAATTTAAATAATAATTTATAATTTTTAAAATATTTAATAAAATTTAAAAAATTTTATAAATCAAAAACTTTTTTTTTAAACTCTTTCTGGTAATCATTTGAACCAAGACTATGCCAAAAGCAGATTAAAGATTCAAGGTCTAAGAAGCTTCAAAATATTTGAGGTTCTTATATAGATGCTATTGTTGACAAAGGTTGATATATAAAATACCAAGAAGCAGATGTATATAGTTAATTTGTACTTTGGGTTAAGCTTTTCTTCTTAGTAGACTCTTTTACACATTTGACATCCAAGTCAGAAAAGTTATTTTGGTAACAGTAGTAGTGAAAAATTCTCAACTCAAGTATCAAAGAGTTTTTAAAACTATAGAAAACAATTAGAAATACTTTCTCTATCTTGAATTCTTGCAAATATAAAATATTTTTTCTCAAAACTTTTGGCTATTTTTTTTTTTAACAAAAAGTGAGAAATTTGATAAACCCTTTTAAAAGATCAATATTGTTTATTATTTTCATATTAGAAAATTAAATGATAACAAATTAATATATATAAAATAGATGGTTCTAAAGAATTTTAGTAACCAGTTTAGATATTTTGATAGAATATTGTACATGTTGTATTGTTAGAATATACAAACATGTATAATTACAAAAAGTTCAGAGATGATGATGATTATATAAAGTTTTAAAGTTTTTATACTTTTAGATAATAATATAAATTTAATTGAAAGAGTCAAACAAAGTATAATGAAATATACAAATATCTTGTAGTTATTTGTATATAATTTTTAGTCTTCAACATAAGTTATAGTATATTTAATTTTTTTTTATATCAATTTTCTCACAATATTGTAATATAAGTAGTTTATTACTCTGTATAGTTAAAAGTTTTTATCTAGTTAGTAGGTTTTCTTCTTTTTAATGATAGTTTCTTACAAATTTTATTTTTGTTTTTAAATTTCTTTTATTTTAGTATCTATTTTTATATATATATTTTGTTTTTTTTATTTCTTTTTTGTCTATATTTTATTTTCTTTTTTTTTTCTTTTTCTACAAGAAAGTATTATCAAATTAGCAACATTCTATTGTAAAGCAAGAATCTTGATGAGGCTAGCTATATACCAACTATTAATTCTAGAAAAAATAAGTTTAAAGCAAGTTTGAATCTCTGAAGAAAATTAAATATAACTCTAACAGGTTATATCTAAGTACAATATAGCAGATTAATAGTTCACCCTGACTGCAAGTAGAAGCTTTGACAACTCCAAGGTAAAATTAGATGAGCTTTACTTCTAGTAGAATTGTATAGAATATAGTTAATATATACTTAGGGATGTGACAAAAATCAGATGATTTTTTAGGGGAAGGGGTAAAAAATTTAAAATTATATATAAAGATCTGATTAAGATATATAGTAAGAGGGGGGGAGGGGGGGAAGCTTCTGATAAAAAAAAAACAGATGATTTTTTAGGGGGAGGGGATAAAAAATTTAAAATTATATATAAAGACCTGATTGAAATATATAGTAAGAGAGGGAGGGGGGTAAGCTTCTGATAAAAAAAAATCAGATAATAAATAACACTGCCCTTATATAATAGCTTATTCTAATTTTCAAATAAAATGAACAGGATTGCTTTAAAAAAAAAATTTTATAAATTATTATAATATTTAAAATAATTTAATTGGCAAATCATGAGTCATCTGAACAAATATTTTTTTTTTATATATAAATTTTACTATAAGTCTGAATGTGG